TGGTGGAGGAGGTAAGGCGGGGGGGAAAGTGGTGCTGGGGGCTGTAGAGCCCAATGGAACCTCCTAAATCATGAGCCGTGGAGGCTCTGGGTGTCTGGTAGAGTCCTCCACAGTCGTAGGATAGGCTCCTGAGAATGGAGTTGTGCGAGGGTTGTCTCGGGGGGCGATTTGGGCTGTTCAGTGGAAGGGTCAGGAAGTGGTTTAGTCAAAAATGTCAGCTTTGGGAGTTGGAGATGAGGGTTAGAATCCTTTCTTCCTGATAGGATGGTGGAGTAACTCCTAAGAAGGGATTTAGTCTTCAATCTTCGGCTTACAAGACAAGTGTTTTTATAAACTATTAATTAGAAGAGAAGCTGTGCTTGTCCCATCCTTGGAAGTGTTCAAGGCGAGGGTGCAACTTCAAGGCTTGGAGCAAACTGGGATAGCAGAAGGTGTCCCTGCCCATGGCAGGGGATGGAATGTGATGAACTTATACATCCCCCCCAGCCCAAACCATTCTGTGATTCTGGGATAGTTTGTGCTGTGTAGCACATCTCACACACAGCTGGTCCAAGCCCTGCTCCAGCCAGGCCACCCAGAGCCCAGGGCCACGTCCAGGGGACTTTTCAGTATCCCTGCCCAGGGAGACTCCTGTGCCAGCCCTCAGTCACCCTCAGGAAAGGGCTTTTTCTGCTGTTCAGAAGAGCCTCCTGCATTTGAGTGCCTTGTTACCTCAGGTGGGCCAATGTTTTCCCAAAGGCATCTTCAAGAGGTTCCATCAGGGGCCCAGTTGTCATTTTAACAATCCAAAAGAATACAAGCAGCTGATGTGACTGGTTATGGCATTACCTTTATCAGCAGTCTGTGTGATTTGAGTAATGGACACAAACCCTGCTACCATTGCAGTTGGAGATGTTGAAGGTGAGTTCTGTGTGCCCTGGGGTTGTTCCTCCTTCCCATGGCTCCCTGGACATGGTGGTTGCTCCTGCTGCTCCTCTTTGCTTGGGATGCAAAGAACTTTCAGCCCTCTGGAGTGGCACCCTGGTTGTTCCTTTAGTATTCTGTGTCTGTTTGTAGCTGGTTTTGTACCTTTATCCTCCCCCAAGTCTGGCCACACAAAGGCTGCTCATCACCAGGGTAACCTGGCTCTGATCCCAGCAGAAGGTGACAGGCACTGCTGCTATCCCAGCACAAGAGAGCTAGAGGCAAGCCCAGCCCAGAGCATGTTCAGGGGGCTGCAATTTTGGGAATTAACCTAAAATGTGGCTCTGCTGTAGATGCCAGGAGGTACCAGAGGACCTTTCCTCTGCTTATGAGGGTGGCTGTGCAGAGACAGCCCCTGGCCTTCATCATCACCTGCAGGGAGCTGCTTGGGACAGGGGTCAATGAGGGTCTGCAGGTGTGATGGTGCTCACAGGTGTCCCAGGATGAGGGAAGAGATGAGGATCTGACTCCATTTTTCAGAAGGCTGATTTATTATTTTATTATATATATTATTAAATATATATAATAAAATAATTATTATATATTATATATTATGTATATATTATTAAAACTTTACTAAAAGAAGAAAAGATTTCATCAGAAGGCTAGCAAGCAAAGGAAAAAGAATGAAATGATAACAAAAACCTGTGTCTGACCAGAGTCTGATACAGCTGGGCTGTGATTGGCCATTATTTAGAAACAATCACAGATGTACCTGTTGCATTCCACAGCAGCAGACAATCATTGTTTATATTTTGTTCCTGAGGCCTCTCAGATTTTCAGGGGGAAAAATCCTAGCAAAAGGATTTTTCAGAAAATATCATGGCTACATCCAGGCTTGCCTAGGACCTCAGAGCATGGTGGCCAGTCCATCCATAGTGCCTTTTGTCATAGAATTATCAAATCACAGCATGTTTTGTGTTGGAAAAGACCTCAAAGCCCATCCAGTGCCACCCCTGCCATGGCAGGACACCTTTCACTGTCCCAGGCTGCTCCAAGTCCTGTCCAACCTGGCCTTGGGCACTGCCAGCCACAGCTTCTCTGTGCCATGGCCTCCCCAGCCTCACAGGGAGCAATTTCTTCCTAAATCAAACCTACATCTGCCCTCCTTCAGCTCTTCCCCCTGCTCTCCCATGGCTCCTGCTACAGGTGATTGTGCCCATCCTGACGAACCGGAGGAACCATCAGGGCTGGCCACGAGTGGTGTCACAGGACATCATCCATCACGTGCACAGCCTGAAAAACACTGTCTTCAAGGTTGTTGGCCAGGTGAAGGGCAAGACCTTGCTGCCTCTTCCAGCTGCCTCGGAGGGAATCGAGAACATTGATCCTAAAAGTGAGAAATTGTGAGTGCCAGCCCTTGCTCTCCACTGGGTTTTCCTCTGCTGCTGCATGTGCTGCACCTTTGTGGATCCTCCCTGTCTGACATGGGGACTCTTCTTGCTCCCTGTCCTCTGCAGCTCGTCAGGCTGCCAAGGAGGGATATTTTGTTCTGTCTTTGGGGACTGTGCAATGATAGAAGCAGGAAAAGCTCAGGAGGTGGAGGGGGATGAGGGCATGCAGAGAAGCTATGAACTGCTGGGATCACTGAGGGAAAACTCCAAACTCTGCAGTCAGGTTGCTCCAAGCCCTGTCCAACCTGGCCTTGGACACTGCCAGGGATCCAGGATCAGCCCCAGCTGCTCTGGGCACCCTGTGCTGGTGTCTCCTCACCCTCCCAGGGAACAATTCCTTCATCATATCTAACTGAAACCTCCTCTCTTTCAGTTTAAAACCATCCCTCCTTATCTTGTCTCTAACTGCCCTTCTAAATATTCTCCCTCGTGAACTTTGTTTTTGTGGTATTGAAACATGAATCTGGGTTGTACCTGCAAAATCCAGCCACCCATTGAGGTGGACCCAACTGAGCAATGCACAAGTGGAAAGCCAAGTGACCCTGGTGCTCTGTTTCCTGCAGCTTGGAGCTGATCAATAAACCCCTTGTGCATGCCACCGAGTCAGCCATCATCGAGTGGAGCCAGCAGATCCAGAGAGTGCTGAGGAAGGAGTCCTCAGAGCCCCTCCTGCAAGGCACCAACCCCACCCCGAAGGTGGAGCTGCAGTTCTGGAGGAGCAGGTGCTGGGGATGCTTTGGGTGCAGGGGGTGCTGCTGCTCTGAGCTAGGAGCAGCTGCTCCAGGTCATGTCGAGTCCTGAACCCAAAATATTGCTGAAATCACGATGATCTCTGAGTGTGAGGGTGGCTGGGCAGTTGGCTCAGTTTGGCTTGGCCCAGCCACAGTTCAGGGGATTTAGCTGGAAATGGTGTTTGGTTGTCTCCAGACAGCCAGGACACCGCTTTGAGCCAACTGGCCAAGGAAACAAAACAATCTCCAGCAGAATCTAATTGACAAATCACTTCAGATAAACAATCTTCTGAACACATTCCACATGTGCAAAACAGCAGGAGCAGCAAGTAGAGATAAGAATTGTTTTTCTCTTCTTCTCTCTGTGCTTCTCTAAGAAAAAACCCTGACAAAGACAATTATGTCTCTCTATTCAGAGCATGTGAATGGCACAATGGGCCATCACTGGGCACTCTCCATGTTGTCAGCTGGGGGTGCCACAGGGGGGTCAGATGAGCCAGGGAGTGGAATTTCAGCTGCCCTTTGTGCTGTGCTGGCTCAGGATGGCTGGAGACAGAGCCCTGCCCATGCAGAGCTGTCAGCAGTGGCTGCAGGAACAGCACCTGGCTCCTTCTGGCACTGCCCTTACCTGAGCCTGGCACCAGCTCTGTCCTCCAGGGCTGGCCCCATCTCCTGCCAGCTCAGTTCAGACTTAAACATGGGCTTTTAAGTTCTAAAACTAAATGTTTCCTAAAGTGAGGAATGTTTCCTTTCTGGGTGAGATCTGTTTGCACTGCAGCCTGCGCAGAAAAGCCTCCCAGTGGCTGCAGGATTTCACCACTTCCCTCTCTCCAGTCACAGCCTTGTTCTTCTTACATCCTCTGTACTTTCCTGTGCTGGAGCTCTTTGCTTATGCAGGTACATCTGCTGCTTTCCAGAGGTGTGAGGGCTTCAGGAAAACTGCTTGGAAAAATTCTTGTGTGTCGTCCAAAAAAACCCAAAATCTAAAACAAACATGACCCCTCCCTCTAGATTTCTTATTCTTCAAAGGGGTTTTTTCCTCACATAAAAATAAGTTCAGGACTCTCACTATTAGGGGATCTCAGTTCCAAACCCTGCTGTACCTCTAACTTCCCAGTTCTACACAGTCTGTGCCTCTGTGTAACTGCAGAAAATCCTGAGCTGGGGCTTTGGAGCACAGCTGGGGCTGCCCCAGCCGGGCTGGTGACGTGTCCTGTGCTGCAGGTGTGCTGACCTGGAGGGCATTCACAGACAGCTGACGTCCAGGAGGGTCAGCAACATGCTGGAGGTGCTGGAGAGAGTGCAGAGCATCTACGTGCCAGCCTTCCAAAGCATGCTCGGGGATGTGGAGGCAGGTGAGAGCCTGGGGCAGCTCTGCCAGGTGCTGATTTCTGTCCTCTGCCATAGCCTGGGGTGCCAGGGCGCTGTGCCCTCCCTGCTGGGGGACAGGGGGGCTTTGTGGGAGGGAGATGCTGATAGGGAGAGTTTCTCCTTCTTAGTCCTGAGCTTTGGGGTTATTTCCATGTGCACTTCTGAAAAGGCTGAGGCGATTGGGGTTGCTCAGTCCAGAGAAGAGAAGTCTCTGGAGTGTTCTTATTCTGGTCTTCCAGTGCCTAAAGGGGCTCCAGGAGAGCTGGAGGTGGCTTTTTACAAGGGTTGGCAGTGACAGGACAAAGGCAAATGGCTTCATGCTGTCGGAGGTTAGATTAGATGCTAGGAAGAAACTAGGAAGAAATCCTGCCATTAGGAAGAAATCCTTCCCTGGCAGGGTGGGCAGGCCCTGGCACAGGTGCCCAGAGTAGCTGGGGCTGCCCCTGGATCCCCTGGCAGTGCCCAAGGCCAGGTTGGACAGGGCTGGGGGCACCTGGGACAGTGGGAAGTATAACAGGATGTGCTTCAAGGTCCCTTCCAGCCCAAACCATTCCATAGTTCTATGATTAGATGATGATGATGCTTCTCTTCATGTATTCTACAGGTTTAGTTGCACAATGATGTCCTGGCTTTATTAAATTTCATTAATTTAATAAAAATTAATTAATTGTTAACTCTGGGGTAGTTCTTCAGGGTCCAGACACACAGCTCTTTGTGCCAGCACCACCCAGCTCCTCACCAGGACTGTGTGCTCCCAGCTCCTGCAGTGTTGGGACAGTCTATCTA